CTTGAGACAAAAATACTCATACAATTAACAACGTAATAACACAATTTCCCCATCTCTGGGCTTACTTTGCAGCGACTGCATTTAAAACCATACATCTGATCTAGAATCTTTCACAGGCATGTTTTCATTAACAACGGTATTTCAATTCTCCCACATCAGCATCGCCATCGCTGAATTCTTCCCTCAGGACCACCTTTTATAGTAACGCAAACGGCACAGAACAAGAACAACACAGTTTGTTTATCTTTGGACTTACTTTGCGGTGACTGCTTTTAAGACAATACATGTGTCACTGTCATATGTAATCGTGACGTTTTCCATCAACAACAACATCTCTTCCACTTCACCATCACTAAGATTCTTACAGTCGGGGACCAGCTCTTCCAAAACATCGCTGAACATGGTAATGTGAACAGGACTGCCATCTGGAACCTCCATAACTACCGAAGCATAGCGATGAACAGGGCAGTCCACAGTTCTCATGGAATAGCCGCATCTATCACATCGCACAACAAGGGTTCCCATTACTTGAAGAATCTTTCTGGAGCACTTCCTACATTGAAGATACGACTCTACCTTCTCAACACACAGAAAACTTCGGATCGTCAAAGTGCTGGAAGCAGATCCTTCTCGTATTTCTTCTTCCGTCGCCAGCAGGATTGCTGACAAACATTGACTCATCTCTTCCACGCTGATAACACTGCTCACCACTGTAGAGACTTTCTTCTTGCCCAACCACTGTCGAACTTGTACAGGAGATATGGTGTACACGCGGCCAACTTCCACAGCAGAAATATGACCCTCCCATAAATCCAGCTCAATTTTACCCATTTCATCTGCAAACAAGGCGTTGGCAACTTTCAGCCCTCTGCATTTTGTCACTGTTGGCTCAGCTACACCAACTATTTTGCCACGGATGGACATCAAGTCTCCCTCGTTGAACTTGTCAATGATTTCTCTTACCAAAATTCTCTTCTCCTCATCATTGCTCCCTACTTCCTGGAATTGAAACGAATACTCCGTTGGTTGCGGTGAAGAAATTTTGGTCATGTCATTGATGATGACTTTGGAACCATCCGACGTGTAAGTAAACCTTTGCAGCTTTACTGGTGTGCGCGACCGCTCACTATCAACCAAAAGCTTCCTCTTGGTCTTCGAGTATATCAGCGCGGATAGCTGCCTATCACTTGACGTCTGCAGAACCATTGTTGAATAGTCCATAGTGTTCCGCTTATTCCTTCTGGACTCCGATACTTTGTGCACGTACGCAATTATGGAATCACGACATTCATCGCGCGCCCTGGATGAACTCGCCACTGCAACATTACTTCTTTGTACGGAACCTTCGCCTTCCCCCATTTGCTTTCCACTGTTCGAAGTTTGTACTGAACCTTCGCCTTCCCGAGAAGTACTTGACATTTCTTCTCTACTAATGCAGTTCAACTTCGCAGCAGATTGTCGCCTTCCACTGTTGCTCTTCTTTTTTGCACTTTTAGAAGACATCATTCTGACAACACACCCTAACCCTACGAGCTCTTATGGCGTCATGTGAATATCTGGTTGTGACGAAGGTTTGGCAACTTTCCTTGAGGGACAACACCCTGGAATCTAGTCNGTCACTGCAACATTACTTCTTTGTATGGAACCTTTGCCTTCCCCCATTTGCTTTCCACTGTTCGAAGTTTGTACTGAACCTTCACCTTCCTGAGAAGTACTTGACATTTCTTCTCTACTAATGCAGTTCAACTTCGCAGCAGATTGTGGCCTTCCACTGTTGCTCTTCTTTTTTGCACTTTTAGAAGACATCATTCTCACAACACACCCTAACCGTACGAGCTCTTATGGCGTCATGTGAATATCTGGTTGTGACGAAGGTTTGGCAACTTTCCACGAGGGACAACACCCTGGAATCTAGTCCCCCTCAACTTACATGTAGCTCCAAGGACCACCCATTCACAGGGCCTTTCATGGGCAAAACATGGCTCCGAAAACACACAATAAATTTGATTGGCTGGATTCTAGACTAACATCTAAACTAACTTAACGCTGATTTTCTTCTCAAAAATTTCAGCTGCCTCACCTCTTACTAAAACCATTCGATCACAGCACCTACAGAGTTACAGGAAATTTAAAACCAACCTC